ACTTTGCCAGTGTTGCAAATAGTTCAGTCACCTGAGTGACATTGCCAAAGTCCTGTTGGTCAGTTAGTACTTGGTTGTTCTGCAAGGAATTTATTTGGGAAATAAAGATGATCAAAGCCACACAGACATTTGTGACAGATCTGATGACATATTCCAGGATCCCAGGTACTTCCTGGGTTCAACCCTGATCTGTGAAGGACCATTGTTGGTTCTCTAGATAGTGAAACTGGACAGGAGTAGAGCAGCTGTGGATTAAGGGGGATTCTCTTTGGCTTTCAGGGGACAAGAGCGGCCATGGGAGGTTTCTGTGTGAGTGATGTGAGAAACCTACTCATGGGGTCCATGGAGCCTTGGAGATTTTAGGAGCGTGAATACAGATGTAGAGGAAAGCCTCTATCACAAAACTAACTGTGGCCGAATTTCAGTGTGTTCAGCCAAGAGAATACAGTGTCAGGTGCTTTGTAGATGAGAACCCTGGGGGATTCAGGAACGTTTGTCTAGTTCTAGTTCATTCATATCCCACGCTTTGCTTCAGTCCCTCCTACCTATGGTGTCTACTGTGACAGCTACTTTTCCTAGCCCTGTGTAGTAGCTCCACCTTTGTATTTACTGTGCAGCTGAGATGTTGCTCTTGGGATAGAATGCTGTCAGTCCACACTTGTGGAGAAGGATAATGGCTTAGCATTCTCTTCTGCTCCTCCGTTAATCAGAATTCTTGGCTGCCTGGAGGGTCTGACTCCTAAATAAAATAAAAGACGTATTTTGGCTCTCAGCGTTGAAGGTTCCAGCCCATGATCAGTGGCTCTGGTTGCTTTGGACCTGCGGTGAGGCGGCACAGCGTGCCAGACTGTGCGATGCAGGAGAACCACGCAGCCTGTGGCCAGAGCCGAGAGAACAGAGGACGGCTAGACTCCACGGTCCTCTTCCAGGCCACCAGGGAAATGACCTGAGGACCTTCTGCCAGCCTTGCTTCCTAGACTCCAGTCCTCCAAGACATGGGGCCTGGGAGTCATTTAAGGTCCACACTGTAGAGTTTTGCTTCTGGCCTCCCAAGGCTCTTGCTTATTTCATAATGTGAAATGCATGCAGTACCGTCTCCAAGAGTCCCACGGTCTTAACTCTCAGCATCACTCAGAATTAAACTCCAGGGTTTCTTCTGCCAAGACTTGAAAGTCTTACATGGGCCCCCATGGCCAGGGGGCAAAGTAGTGGCTCCAACTGTGGGCCTGAGTCTACAGAGGAAGAGGACTTGACTTGTCCAGGTCCCACTGACAGGGGCCGTCAGAAGGGGCCTGGCCCAGCAGTGACAGTGAAGGGGTTGGGGAAGGAAGTGATGGATACTTCCTGAGTGTGAAAGGCAGAAGAGGAGTGTGGCCGAGCAGGCACGCAGGTCCCTTTGGAAGGATTCGCCTCGCTTCCGAGTGACAGGAAGCCGTGAGGTCTAAGCTCCTGTGAGGTACAGAACAATGCTTTGGAAGGCCCCTTAGCGTCTATAAAGGGTTTGTGCGATTTCACACACCTGCTTGTGGAGAAGGCGAGAGCTAGCTTTAGGAGACTCTGTGCTGGCCTCCGGCTTCTGCAGCTTTCTCTGAGTTGTTTTTATCCCAAGACATTTGTGCTCCTCCTCTGTTGCTCACACTCTGCCTTCGTTAATTTCTTTTCCTGTGGTTATTTTGTTTCTGAGAACCCACTGTTTACTTGGATGGAGAAGATGTCTTCCTTAGTCTCCTGTGCTGTATTTCTGTCCGCACCGGTTCCTTGTG